CAAAAACTGTGTGCAAGTGTACCTAGAAGAATTGATGCTGTTTTGAAGGCAAAGGGTGGTCTCACCAAATATTGATTTGATTTGGGTTTTTCTTCACTCACTTTGCATTTTGTAAATTGATAAACAATTACAATATATATTTTTGAAAGCATTCTTACTTTACAGCATTTTTTCACACCTGCCTAAAACTTTTGCACAGTACTGTATGTTAACAAATTTAACAATACATGTAGTGATATCTTCATGTTTTCAGAGTAAGCATGTGTGTCTCCAGGCAAAACAAATGTGGTAGCCCTCCAGTTTTTCTGTTATATTCTCTTCTTAGACACAGTTAATATTTTGTATTTGTAACTGCAACTTGCAGCATATTAATTTATATACCCAATATATACATTAGCAGAAACTGGGTTATGCATTCAGTTTGGACAAAATACTCATTGTACACTCATCATCTGATTACACACTGTTTGACTTCATGAAACATGGAATGAAGATTTTTTTTTTCATCTATTAGTACTGCATACATACTAGATACTTCCAAAGATTTTAGCAGGGCTTTTTGTATTACTATTACCTTTCTTTTATTTTTTTTTTCCACATAGAAAAAAATGCATGTGGTTTTTTAAATATATAGCCTACCTATATACTTGACATAATAATTGTTTCTTTTATACAGTATATGTACCATGGATTTTTATTTTTCCAGCAATGTTAAATGTTATTATTGCTCTTCTTGTATTTGTCAGACTAGAGAGGCAAAATATAAACCAGGCAAAATTAATTGCTATTTACGTATAGCTGTGAGTAGGATATAGATTGATCATATTATCTATATGAGAGGAATGGTGAATTTTGTGGTTAGAGAATGGAGAACAAGAGTTGGATAAAAATATAAAAATATGCAATAATAGATATAATAAATCCACGCTAGTTGATACTGAATCTTTTTCATGTCTTCATCTATCATGACCATGACTCCTAGAGGCAGGGAGAAATCAGTAGGATTAAGAACAGCAGTGTCACATGTTCCATAGCTGCTGAATAGGTATGGAACTGTTACATATGTAGTAACACAAACCTGAATAGGAGCTCGTCAGCCTGTTAGTGGAGGTGGAAACTCAGATTGGATTCCCTGAAGGTAGCATTTTGAGTCAGATTTGCCTTTTAACCATTGCTAATTCCTGCTTCCATGCATAGTCCAACAAAGGTAATGCATGACAGAAGCCTTCTGTTATCTATCTCTTTGTTAGGTGTGGAAACATTGTCCTATATTAAATATATACCCAAATATGGATATGTGTATGGATGGTATCTACCTTCCTCTGAAAGCAACTTAGTATAAATTGCATGTGCTTTTACAGTCCACCTTTCCTTAAGCCGTGGCAGAATAAATGTTCTCACAGAACAATTTACAGTCTTCTAACCCACTGCAGATAGCAAAGATCTGAGACCAAATTTATAAAGGATTCTACAGAGCAGTAATTGAACCAAGTTTATATAGAAAATAGATTAAGAATCTTGAGTGTGCAAAGGCTGAATATTCACCATTCCACATTTTTTTTGTTGATTAAAAGCCAGTTCCTGTGGAACAGGTCTGTGTAACACAGTTGAAGGGGTGCTCTATAATGCAAGTAGGCACAAATTAATGTTCTTCCTCCAAGTACTTCGGTAACCATAACCTCTAAAATGCTCAACACAGTAGCTTCAAAATTTTCATGTTTATGTGGCATGAAGACTAGTGGTAAAGCAAAATGGCTTGTGATTAAGCAGTTTGACCTCCATTGGTTACATACGTATATTAGCGCAATGTGTAGCTTATAATATATTGTATATTTATCGGGTGTGCAATAAAACAGTACATTATAATTAATAAATGAAATTTAAAATGATATACAATCAGGTTAATAGAATATTTAAAAATCATGAGAACAAAATCATCTTCATTTAAGGGTGCTATGGAGGAAGTGTTTAAGATTGTGTTGCCATCTGGTGGGCATCCAATAAGTTCTTTAGGATTCAGAGACAGTAAGCTGGAACTAGGGTGAAATGCCAAAAAGGATTTGTTGAGAGTTATGGAGTTGAGAGTTACAAAGGAAGAAAGATATATCAATCCACATTTCTTCAGCTTGCCAGGAATGGCAGCAGATGGACCCCTGAAGCAGAAAGTGCAGCACCTGCCTAGAACTTTGGGCCTGTTCTGAGCTTTATGGTGTCTGTTGCTTTTGCCAACCTTGTATACTTTTCTTGAGGGACTGAAAGGACAAACAATAACAACTGGAGAAACCTTGGTAGCATATTTCATCAGTGATTTGATCATAATTTCAGACAATGGACCTTCAGCCAGAGATATTTTAAATATGGCATTGTCTGTAGCAGACAAGATCTGGGGATGGTCTGATAACATACTTTGTAACTCAAATAGTTGACCTGTTGCTAAGAATAGTTCTATGGGAAACTATTTCTAGTATGCAACTTGCCTCACTCCCCTCCCCACAAGCAGGTATAAAATTAGAGAAATCAAGAAGTCTTCTTTATCTTAATTGTTACAAATAGGAATACAGGTAAAAAGCTCAGGGGATTTATGATATATTGATGCAATCCACAAAGCTTGCTCAAGTAACTTTAAGTCCCTGTGTGGAGGATTTACAATACAAAGCTTAAGTTATGTTACGTTAAACACAAATGACCTCAGCTGACTAAGTAACTCTTTCTACTTGACTATATCTTATATGTGCAAAGGGAAAAAGGGGTCTGTAAGTTACCAGTCTTCTGTCATGTTCATCTGCTGTTTGGGCAAAACCTGCCAATCTCCATGGGACAGCTGTCTTCTGTGTTTTCAATAAGAATTCAATTTCACGGGAATCTGACCAGAATATTTTTTTCAGATGAGATTCAAAGTATTTGGTACGTGCAACAGAGTAAGTTGGGCAATAAAGCAAATAGTGAGAGATGTCTTCTAACCTGTTGGGAGGTAGACTCATTAGAAGATTTTTAGGAAACAGACATCACACATAGCTGATTGGAGAGAAGGGCCAGTAATATATTTGAAATGCTATAATGCTTGCATATATTTATTTTTTTTAATTATTCCATGCTAAGGAATTCACTTGTTAGTAGTGATTGAACTTAAATCAACTTCTGCAGAGATATCAAATATGTTTTAAAAATCTGTCAGTTTGTTCACAAATATAATATATATGTGTATGTATATGTATATGGTGAATATCCACAAGTGTAAAAGAGGTTTCTCAGTGTTGTGAACCAATAAGGATATTTTATTGGAAATATATTTAATTTGCTCTAATAGGCAAAACTTAGATAACTAGGAACGTGAAAGGGACATTACTCTGTCCCAATACTTAAAGGCTCAAATAATGATGTTTGTTTTAATAGTTGGATACCAGTTTCTGCAGGTCTTATGTCAGGATGCATCAGCCAGTTATAGTTTATGTCTTGTCAAATCATTGTATACGGCTCTGGATAATAGTAATCTGTAGAACATCCTTTGTCATTAATTAAATATGTATCTAAAATGGAATAAGACTACCATATTATGGGCTGCAAAATCCAGACAACTGTTAGAGTTTTCTAAATCTCTTTATTGCTATTTAGCATTCATATGAATTTTTGTCATCCAAATATGGTAGCCTTACTATTATGTCCTCAAAGTTGATTCCTGAGGAAGACTGAAATCTAGTTAGCATGATAGTCTGCCTACTGCGTGAAATTCCCTGAATATTATGGCCAACCTGGCCTTGGTGGTTTTAATTTGTTGCTGCCTGCTGATCCAAAGTACAGTAGAGGTATTTGAGGATTCAGCATATTGAAATAGTTTGGAAACAACTGGTTCAGTAATTGTGAATATGCATGTACTGACTTGGCTAGATATTCAGTATCTTCTTATGGCTCAAATCACTGTCCTATTGTGTTCAGGTCAAAGATCAGCATAACATCAGTTAGGTTTCAGTAACACATAAATTGTTGTGCTTAATTGTATTCAAAACCCCAGTTTATGAATTTGAAACAGTTAAATGGGAGGAATTTAGAATAGTCCAGTTCTGACTATATACAGGATTAACCAAGAGGTAGGTGTTTGTAACAACACCTGTGACAGCTGTTGTTTCCTTCAATAGGTAATAGAGTTTGATGATGGGTCTGGATCAGTTCTCAGAATACAACCACTGCGGACTCCACGAGATGAAGCTATTTATGAATGTGTTGCTTCCAACAGTGTTGGAGAAATAAGTGTATCCACAAAACTTACTGTATTGCGTGGTAAGTTTTTTTTTAAATTATTATTATTTTAAATAATAATTTATTAGAGTTGGCAACAAATGTTATTCTAGAATTATAGTATTAATACTTAAAAGTTTGTATGTTGAAGGCCAATCTGTTGGGCTTTGTTTTCACCTAGAAATAAATGTTTTTTAAACATTGTGATTACAATCAGTTTGCCCTAGTCAATGGTGTATAGGGAGAGCAGTTGAGATGTTTTCCTTTTTTTGTGCCAGGTTTTCCGCAGTCATAACTGTTGGTTGAGATCACACATTAAATGTTGGCTGTATTTTGTGTATAAATTTCAGAGATTCTGTACATATGTGTATGTGAAAATATATGTGTGTAAATATGTATGTATAGTACTGCTAGTGATAATAGAACCATGGTTCATACCTTCATTCAGCTGTTAACATTTGTAATTGGATTAACCTTTGACTATATGAAGTACATGAATTGGGCTTTCTTAAGCTGCAGTTCACAATGAGAATAATGCAAGAAGCTAAAAAATTTTTTTTAAAAAAATACATTCAACGCTTTTTAGATATGTTGGATTTTCAAAATGCTGTTCTTGGCACTTTATTTGTGAGCAGAATTTATATCAAAGGTAGTCCAACAAGTTGATACTGACTTTGGCAAAACTATAGAAACAGATTTTATTTGAACTGCGGTTAAATGCTTTAGTGAATATGAGCAGACTTTCCTTCAGGAGTAGAAATGCTGTCAACTTGTTCTGTTTCTTATATTTTTGAGCAGTCATAGTCAGTGAGGTTGATTTTAAACTCAAATTTAATGCACCAACTTTAGATGGTTTCTATTTAATCAGTTACAGGTGTCATTTCTGTGAACCCACAAACAAGATTTTACTTCAACTAAAACCCAAATTTCAGATAGCCTTTGAATCTGAGTTCTAGACATTAAGATTTGCTTTACTTTTTCTTTTCTTGAATGTTCTTCTGACACTGTATTTCAAAGCAAAGCTTTTTTCAAGGGTACTGTTCTGCTTGGTATACAGTATATCCATGATGTAGAAATTTAAAGCTATTCTGTTTTTTGGGTTTGGTTTTGTTGTTGTTGTCGTCATCTATTTTGAAACAATTCTGGCTGATTAGAGTTCATTTTGTATTATAGTTCCTCGTAATATGAATACAGATTTAATTATTTATTGTACTCTTCAGTACTATCAGATGTAATTTTATTTAATATTCTGTTTGAATCGGTATATAACATCCAGTTTCCCATTTGCATTACTTTGCCGTGGTTAAGGTTCATACATTGATAGAAGTATCTTCCCTTGTCTCCTATGCTCAAGGCTTCTCATGGATTAGCTGATGAGGAAAGATGTCATGGGGAAAATAAAATAATTGGTGGAAGGGATAACTCATATTAACATCAGTAAGCTTCATTATTTTTCAAAAGGAGCTTCTTTGGCAATTCATCTACTATGTGACAGCTATATTTACAGCTAAGAAACTAATTTTGATTTTGATGTATTTCTCTTCCCATACCAGCATGCAAACCATCAGAGGCTTTCCAGCCTTCCTAATGCGTATTATTATTATCATTTATTTGTTGTAACTAATGGACATTCTTGTCATTCCTTTGTTGAATAAAAAGATATGTGCTTGGGAAGAGGAATTAAAATAAATGAAATGGGAACAAGGAAAGAAGTTGGAGAGAGAAAATGAAGGTGTATTGTGGAGGGAAAAAGGAATTTGGCTCTGGGCAGTGTATAAAGCTATATTCTATAATATTGACAAGCCATTGAATATTGTCTGTATAAAAATGTGCCTAGGGAAGTTCAGGCTGTCACTAGAAATTTAGCATCCCATTTTTTCTGCTGATCTGTGTGAAATGTTTCTGGTAATCCTTTTGCTCTGGATTCTGTTTGAACTGTTTCTTGGCTTGGGTGCTAGAATACGTTACTATTTGAGTAGAAAATGTGTTGCACCCTTCAATCTTAAATGTAGAAATTATTCATTTGCAGGCTACTGGTGATCAGAGAAGCTTCAACTACATTCTATATCTAATTTCATTTATTGTAGAGCAGAATAGCGAATCATCAGATAGAAGCATAAACATCTTTTCTTCTCACCTTTTCTTCCTTCCTTATTTTATGAATAGGGACATAGAATAGAAGGCAGTTACAAGAGTAAATAGTAATTATTGTTCATTGAAAGCCAGTGTTAATAGGAATGGCTACAAATTAAGGGCATGTTTATTTATTCTGTTTTTAAACATTTTTATTGTAGTTTGTTACTGAAATAAGAAAGAATAGGTTAACAAAGAATAATTGCTTTTTTGTTAAAATGTGGATTATCACAGATTTTCCTTAATAGCACAATGAGGCTATTGATCTTTGCTCAGGTATCATGGGGTTTTAATGTGCAAATTGATTTAAGTTTAAATAATTAATATATGGATACTCCTGGTTTCTTTTTTTTTTCTTTTAGAAGAGATTAAAGCAGAAATAAAGTGGATTGGAAGGTTTGGATTGGGACTATACATAATTTTTGCATTGTACTAAATAAAACACAATACTTACCAGTATCCATAATGAGCACACACAGGCTATAATGGGAGCAAACAATTGAAAGAAGATTCTGTTTATTTTTATATTAAATCTAAGAAATCACTTGAAAATCAAAAGGATGACAATGTGAGTGCAATAATGAAAGTCTGGAAACTGCATATTTTCAGGACAGATAATGCTTATTATCATGGTACTGGCCCACTTGTGCTTCTACCCATGCTTAATCAGGTTCATTTTTGAATTTCCTCCACCTGAGTTTGGGGCATTGCTTCTAACAGTTCATTTCCCAGAATTATTCAGTAAGGCAGAGCACATTCTGAGATCAGCATAGAGAGAAACACTCTTTGAGAACAGTTCTGTGAAGAGACCAGGCTGCCTCCAGTTATGAGAGCCTACCAGGCACACAGCAGAACCATCTGCCAGATAATTGGGAAAAACCACAAGTGCCCTCTGCAAACCCTCCAAATTCTTCAGGTATCTGCAGCAAGCCCTTCTAATGGGTCCATGCTCCATTAGAAGGGCTTGATGGTCCTTCTTGCCATCAACCTTAATTGGACTAGGAAGTGATCTGACTCATAAATATAAGACTTGATGTTCCTGTATCCACTGAAGATACTTTGTTCACTATTGCTCAGTTTCTCAATTAATGTGGATGAAAATAATATTTGAATACACTAAGTAGTGAGAATAGTGGAGTACTATATATCCTTCTACTTGGACATTCCAACCAAGATGGGATCCATAAGTCCATTCTTAGCTATGCTATGGAGAGTACAGGGCAAAAGATCATTGATGAAATAATTCTCAAATTTATGCCATCATGCCAGAACAGATTATTGCCCTTAAAGGATAGGTTCCATATCAAAACAGAAGATATAATTAAATATATTTTTACACTAAAAAAATAGCACCAACATCTAACAAATATCAACATGAATTATTGCAAGGTTCAGCAGCTGATTTGGAAGAGGAAACTACACTTTGGATAAGACTGAGTTGAAACAGCAGAGAAGTTTGCACACATACAAAAACTGGCCCCTGCAAAATATTTCGTTTTATTACAACACTGATGCTATCCAAATAACTTGTTTGTTCAGCTGTTTTTGCACTCATTCCTATTTATCTTGTTTGCATAGTAATGACTTTGATGAGGCATAGAGTCATGGGGGACCACATTGTAATGTAAACCAATGTCAAATGACATTAGAGAAAAGGAAAAAAAAAATAGTAAGTATTCCAGTATCTAAATTTGTAGTCTCAGAACTTCATCTTTTACTTTAAAGAGATGGTACAAACAATACTGGCCTTAACTTTCATAGATTATACTCCCTGTTTCTCATAACAAGGCTGCTTTAGATATCACCCTGATGAACATTGGGTAATGCAGATCTCAAGATAATTATTAAGAATTCAATGATCACAGAGTTCTGTGGATATATAGTACCTCATTTCCTTTTCCTATAGTAATTGTGGGGATCTTTGAAAAACTGACTGTAAATATTTTACTGTGACTTCAGTAATTCCATTGAAATAATTTATTATCAAATTATTATACTATACATGTCAAGATTTGAAATGGTGCCGTGTTCTTACATTCTTGTATTCAAAGTTTCTTCTAAAATGTAGACTTGAAGAATGATGAAGATCTGAAAAATAATGAAGCACTTGTGTAGAAAATAAGACTGTATGAATCTTCAAAGGGATTATTCAGTTTTAAAGAAATTTGATCAAATCAGTCCTTTAAATCAAATATTTGATATCTGAAGCAATTTGAAGTGTCAAATCAAATCAACCGTTTTCAAATTGCTTCAGAGAGTTCAAAGGAGATACAGAAATCTGATGGAGTTTCTGTCTGCATTCTCAAAGACTGTTGCAGCTTTCCTTCTATATATGGATAATGCTGAAGGAAGAAATGAGTGCCCTCTAAATTGATAAAGATAGCTGGCCAATGCGTTTTATTGCCTCTACAAATCCTGTTTTTCAGAGCAATTGGGGAAGTGTTGCTGTACTGATTATTTCAAACTCTGGAAATTTCTTTACGGAGGTTGGTTTGGAGGCGGAAGAGAGAGAGAGAGAGAACAAAAGAACCAGATTTATTCTATTGCTCTGTTGTGATCTGGCTTTGTGCTTTCTACAGTAATTCCCTAAATCCATATTCTTTTCTCTTTAGCTTTCCTTCATTCTATGTATCTCATTAATTCACCTTACCCTCCCCATTCCCATTTATTTATTTACTTATTCTAATCCAGGAGAAAATTGTTATAAGATGTATAAATTCATAAGAAGGAAGTACTTGCATTTGTGCTTAATGGAAAATTTCTCTATTAAGAAAATATATAAAGTTTTACTAGACTAAAGGGTTATTTACTCTATCGATCTAACCACCGATCTATGAATGATAGAGTTCTGTGTGATTAGTAAGTATATGTTACTTTTTATTTCTAAAAAAACACTAGTAAAAAAATTA